CCAAAAGTGTTGATAAATATACGATACAATTGAATTTCTTTCTCTTATTTCATTGTTTTTATTGTTTATGTAAATAATAAATTGATTACAATATATACGCAAACATTACAAACGTTATTGTGTATGCATTTCTGTTACAATCAGCCACTTATCAGTTCTATACCACAAAATAATGGAAAATGTTTTGGAAAATTGAAAAATGATTTAGAAAAATAGGACAACTATTCAATGGTTTTGGTCGTCATATAAAAATAATGGTTAAAATACTGAATCCTTGTCGGTAAAAGTCTAAAGGCCAGTAAAGTCTGTACTCTGTTTACTGACTCGTGAGAAGTGCTGTACGAGTAACAAGTATCATGTGTTAAGTTTAGAGTTACTTTAAAATGCTATGGATTTGTGTCCAGCAAATGATGGTAGTTGAGAATCAATTTATAAGATTGTTGTGAATGCCATACACTGTAAACATTTGATTATTATATTTGCATAGGAGTGCGAACATAAGAATCGGATCATGTTTTGTATATGTGTTTAAATATGTTGTATTTACTTTGAATGACCAGTTAATACCATTACGAGAGAGAGAGAGAGAGAGAGAGAGAGAGTTTGAAAACATCAAATTTCAAATAATTGATAACCCAATCAAACCAACTCTACTGCATATAACAGTAAATGTTGTATAATTTCATAATTAGATAATAAACATGATAATCTTCATAACGATTGTGAGTCAAAGAGCATAATGCACTTCTCAACGATACATTGCATGTATTGTATTTGTGTTATATTATAATGAGAGGGTTGTGCAGTATATTTGATGAAGTTTATGAGATTGTGATTCATTGGGATAATAAAACTAAAACATGTATTCATATGAAAACACTTAACTCCTTAGCGATGGACAGGCGGTCGTCAGAGGAGTGGATGCGTACGGATGTCTCATATAAGGACTGAATATGATTTGCATCCACTAATTGACGCCCAGTTTGTACCGGATTTAAGTAATTCAAGTAAATAGACCTGGATGTCTGGTGGAACGTGTTTAAATAGTTTATATAATAGACAATAATAATGATGAAACCAAACACTATTAACACAATCAATATAAATAATTTGATCAGCGATTGCTTGGATGACAGAGCGATGTATAACTGTTTCTTCGCTGTATTCACGATATTAGACATAATTCTATAGGAATTACATTGAGTTCTGTATTAAACCGGAGATAACATCCAAAAACAAATGACAAAATATTGTTTATTTAATATTTTGTTTCAATTCAATAGCCATTTAAAATTGAGACAAAACACAGTTATTTATGTCTAAAATTCATTTAATAATTATCGCAATGTTTAGTAATGAAAGTATTGAAGGACTTTTGCTGTCATTGAATGTAATGCTACAGTATTTGCCTTATAGTTAGCTATAGAGGAATGGATTGGTTTAGAAGTATTGTGTCATTTGAGACATACATTAGTGACAGAAGTTTTATCAAAACTTTACTGCAATTCATATAAATTTATGTTTTGCTAAAAATATTTGTGATGTATTTTTGAAAATGTATACAACAATGAGACGAGCGTTGACTGATAGGCAATGATTTGCAACAATACAATTCAATTACAATTTAAGCCTTTAAAATGGTTGAAGCATTTGAATGATTGCTCTTTTTTATGGTGTGATTTCGAGGCGCATATATCCATATCTACTATGATTTATAACATTGTATTTACACTTATTATGCAATCATGACCTAAATTATACATCAACTTTTTCAGTGCCCACTATCTAGTTCTATAGCTCTCTCTCTCTCTCTCTCTCTCTCTCTCTCTCTCTCTCTCNTCTCTCTCTCTCTCTCTCTCTCTCTCTCTCGTAATGGTATTAACTGGTCATTCAAAGTAAATACAACATATTTAAAGATATATACAAAACATGATCCGATTCTTATGTTCGCACTCCTATGCAAATATCATAATCAAATGTTTACAGTGTATGGCATTCACAACAATCTTCTACATTGATCCTCAATTACCATCATTTGCTGGACATAAATCCATAGCATTTTATAGTCAATCCACGGAAAGTCAGAATACTTAACTTAGGATTAAATTTTGGCAAAATACTTTTCATGGACTAGACTTAAACTTTACTTCAAAAGTTTGAATTTTGCCACAACTTTAAGAGTAAGTTTCCTTTCGTGGACGAGACTTAACTTAACTTACAATGTAAACTAATCAGCTATTGTGGCTTAACAGAGAGGTGGAGACTAAATAAATGCCGTAGAATATATTTTAAATAGATATCATAGGTATCATAGATGTTTTGTCTACTATTTTGCATATTAATATTAAAGTTAAGTATCTTTCGATGGACACAATTAATTTTAACTTTTTAAGTTAAAGTTGAGCCAAATATTTTCCGTGGACATAGTATTAAAGTAACTTTAAACTTAACACATGATACTTGTTACTCGTACAGTACAGTACTTCTCAATACACAGAGTGCAGACTTTACTGGCCTTTAGACTTTTACCGACAAGGATTCAATATTTTAACCATTATTTTTATATGACGACCAAAACCATTGGACAGTTGTCCTATTTTTCGAAATCATTTTTCAATTTTCCAAAACATTTTCTATTATTTTGTGGTATAGAAGTGATAAGTGGCTGATTGTAACAGAAATGCATACACCATGAGACGGCAGAAAAGGGGAAAAATTATTTTTAACATATGAATATTGTATGAATAACATAGGGCTATTTTTCATTTTTGAAGCCTTTTTTGAAGCACTTGCCTTCACATGGCATACACAATAACGTTTGTAATGTTTGCGTATATATTGTAATCAATTTATTATTTACATAAACAATAAAAACAATGAAATAAGAGAAAGAAATTCAATTGTATCGTATATTTATCAACACTTTTGGCAATAAATACAATCCATTTATTTAATTAATTAAAGTCTGAGTTATAATAAAACAAAAACAAAGTTTTGAAATGAAAATTCACTATAAAATGTATATACAATTTAGTTTATCATTAGATTATCACCATTTTATTACAATTAAAAACACATCGACTAAGAAAATGAGTGGCAGTCGGAGAGGCGTCGGTGGCGGGGAATCACATGTATTCAGTTGGCCTTCGGAGCGGCGGCACAGCCGGCGGCCGTCGCTGCGGAGGTGTGGCCACCGGACGGGGGCGGTTGGGCGCCAGCCTTTTGCTCTAAGAGTGTCCAGTCGTACATATTATCGCACCGGTAATTGAGCGCTTTGAACAGACTTTGAAACAAATGCCTTAAATACAGATAATTGGGCGCCTCTTCGAAGCGCAGACTTCGGCAATAGTTTAGATAAATGGCGAACTCTTTCGGGTGTCCTTTGCACAGGTCGTCGATCAGTGTCCGCGACTTCATCTCCGCTATCTTCTCGTACTTTTGCTTCTTTGTGGCCGCTCTCAGGCCCTGCCAGGGAAGCGATCCGCGGATGAAGTACATCAACACATACCCCAACGACTCCATGTCGTCCCGACGCGACTGTTCCACACCTGAAGAGACAATGGAGAGGCAAAACACGTTATACTCAACCATTCATCACATCAACCAACAAGTCGTACCCAAATGGGCCAACACTGAAGCATAACGCGCGGTTCCGGTCAGGTTCTTGCCCTCCCTATACATCACATGCTCGCGGGTCCGCACGTCTCTGTACTTCTTGGAGAGACCGAAGTCAATGAGAAAGAGTCGATGACATTGGGGTCGGATTCCCATCAGGAAGTTGTCGGGTTTGATGTCCCTATGGATGAAGTTCTTGCTGTGCATAAACTCGACGCGCGATATCATTTGGTCGGCGATCATCAGCACAGTCTTCGTCGTGAACTGACGCCCGCAGGCGCTGAACAGCTCCTCCAGACTCTTGCCCAACAGCTCCATCACCAACACGTTGTACTCCTTGTCCTGACCGTACCTATCATTGCATAACAGTTACACACATTAGCGACGGCCACACATAAGACACACACTCGCGAGTGGTGGACATACCATAGTATACGAGGGATACCGACGCCGCCCTGTAATAGCCGATAGAGCTTAGACTCGTAGAGCAGCTGCGGATGACGGGCTTTAGTCCTCTCCAGTTTGATGGCCACCTCTTCGCCACTCGTCGTATTGATACCCAAATAAATGGTCCCAAAACTGCCGGAACCGATCTTACGGACCAAACGATACTTCGAGCCCACAA